CAACTCCTCGTCTGACTCGTCCACGGGCGCCACCTCCTCCTGCGGCTGGCGGTCCTCCTCACGTGGCGTGGGAGGAGACGGCCCCCTCCTGCGGCTAGCGGTCCTCCTCCTGTTCGATCCCTCTGCCGCCCCCTCCGCCACCTCCTCCTCAGATATGACATGTGGAGATGTCCTGGTTTGTAAGCATCGTACGTGACAACGTGCACGAAATCTTCTGAAATTTTTATCATAGCCTCCACATATGATATCACGACATCTCAACAAGTTTCATGATTTTCGGACTTCGTTTGCTTTTTATAGAATTTATAAACACTTCACACGCAATTTCGCGGACATGTTTCGTGAACAAGATGTCCGAAATTTCGGGTCCGTTCCTGGATACGGCCTCTCATAACACTCACTAACATGACTATCAATTTTCGAATCATTAAACTCCATTATTCGTACAACGTGCAGTTCAAATTTCTAATTTCCGAAAAAATTCAAGTAAACGAAATAAAGTAACTAAATATAACAAAAAGCCACAAAAAGTCCCCAAATTGTAACTAGGAGTTCCTGGTGCTTTAAAAAGGCTGCACAAAAAAATTGGAGGCCAAAAACAAAAAAAAAAAAACTATATGCCGAGTCTTGGGGCATGGCACTTTCGGCAAAGGTGTCTTTGCCGAAAGTGCCGACCATCGTGCACTTTCGGCAAAAGAATGTTTTAATTTTTTTAAATTTCCTCTTTGCCGAAAGTGCATCCACAGGAGCACTCGGCAAAGAAATAATAAAAAATTAAATCTTTGCCGAAAAGTGCCGTCCGAGAGGGCACTCGCGGCAAAGTATTTTAAAATAAAAAAATTTTTTTGCCGAAAGCGCCAGATCTGAGGCGCTTCGGCAAAGAATTAAAAAAAAATTTAATCTTTGTCGAGTGCGAGATCTGGGACACTCGGCAAAGAAATTAAAAACAAAAAAAAACAAATCTTTGCCGAGTGCCTAACAAAGAAGCGCCGCAAAAGAAGGACGTGGGCGAACACCGTTACGCTGGGCAGCCTATGCCGAGTGCCGCGTTTTTTTTGCCGAGTCGGCACTTTCGGCAAAGAAGTCCTTTGCCGAGTGCACTTTTTTGCCGAGTGCGGCGCACTTTCGGCAGAACTCTTTTGCGAGTGTAATTTTTTTTGAAAAGGCACTTTCGGCAAAGAAGGTCTTTGCCGAGTGCCCGATTTTTAACACTCGCAAAGAATTTTACACTCGCAAAGTATCTGCTTCGATAGTGATTAAGGGGTTATCGAGAGTTGAGAGGATGATGATTACATCGCAGAGGGACTGGAGCTCGTGTGTCATGCCTAGTTTTCCAAAGAAAACCAAGCTCGTCATATGCGTGCATAGAAAATTCACACATACAACAACAGAATGAAAAATATTAGAAACAATGTTATTAAATAACGTATACATAGTTATATTAACACTTACATCAGAGTATTGCGGAACGGTAACTAATCTTTAGGCTTCATTCTTCACAAGGACAGTTGACTGGGAGTAACATACGCTTAGCACTTGTCAATCTTCTAGGAAGTCCTTCATGTCCCCATCAATCTTCTGAGCTCCTTTTACTACAGACTAGGATGTGGGGAAAATAGCAAGGGTGAGCACATGTCATACTCAGCAAATATAACATGGGGTTCATGAGGCTCAAAAGGTTGACACTGGTTTACTACGATTAGATTTTAGTGAGTCATAATTTTAAGTAACCGAGTAGCATCAAATTCATCGTAAGCCCGTATAAACACATGATCAGGTAAACATGAATAATGAATAGCATAAATAAATTATCATTAGTGATCATCTATTCCGTAAGAGTTCCAAGTCCGCTCGTGACTGTGAGCACGGCTGATATACCAGTTTTACACTCTGCAGATGTTGTATACTTTTACTATGAGCCGTGATACCCATATGCCTGGGTTAATTACTTTCAAAACACTTTCAAGGTGAGCAGGCAAGAATCACTATGAAGTCTTTCAAAGGTTCGTCTAACAAGTTAGGGCCGCTAGGTTTCTGTGACCAGCAAATGTAGAGCTTCCCTTTCCTAAGGCACATTCCGCACAGGCTATACACTTAAGAACAAAGGCCGCAGTACACCTAACCCGGAACACACCCCATTTGGGTCCTTTCGAGTAACCTCTAACAAGCTAAAAAAACTAAAGCCAGAGCCACGTAGCACTCATAGTTGTACTGTAAGTCACGGTTGACCACTTACAGATAAGTCCTTAGGGAGAGGAATCTAGAGCATCACAAAAACTATGCTCTAGCCCCCTAGTTCCTTGTTGCTAAAAAATATCTTTTAATATTTATTGCATATACCATTAGTCAAGTTACAAGATCATGATCTTTAATTGATCGCTTGCATCACACTACCAATGCATAAACCCATAGGACTCAAGGTACAAGGTAACAAAGTACTAGGAAATCCTTAGTGGTAGTCAAGGTAGACACATGCAGCATGAATTAAATGGTTAAAGGTGTATAGGATAACAAGGAAGATTCCATGCTATACTTGCCTTAAACACTTGCTCAACTCTCACACCATCAGCTTTCGGTCATCACCTTCTAATCTTCAGCGCCTACAAACAGTTCTCGTCTACTCGTAGCAAGCACCACACATAGGCAATCATACAAGCAACAAATAAAAGCAACTAAGAACAGCAGAGCAAGAGATTTAAAACAGCATGCTAAGAGAGAACTCGTTGCTACGATCAAAATAACGCAAGAAACGTGGATAACAGAACTATCGTTAAAAAGAAATGACTATCGAGAGTTTTATATTTTAAAAGAAACAACTGCGAGCTTGATTTATTTTAATTAAGAAAAACTATGTGAATAGTATTAATTCAGATTAATCAAAACATATTTAGTTTCAAAAGTCAAGTTATAGCTAATCATGTTTTAGTTATAAATATCATCATATAATTTAATCAGATTAAACTTTAACATTTACAAAACAAAGGTGCATGTGAGAGCATATAAACAAGTTTTATATGACCTTGTTTATCCTAAGCAAATTATAATTTAGAAACACGTTTATGTAAGCAATTAATCATGTTAAGATTTATATATATAATACATAAGTATAAAACCTATATTGATTTTAATTATAAAACTGGATGCAAGTATATTAATCAATTTAATATTTAACTATATATATAAACATGTGACATGAAAAACATTAACACTACTGCATAGAGCACGTCGGCAAGAATCTAACGCAACTTGAACAAACCGAATCCGAATTAAAATAGAAAAACGGCGGAGATATTACGAACTAGTGGTAGTTTCATAATTACCTCATCTTATTCCTTGGTCCATCTACCGAACGTGAACGTGGTGGCTGCCCTTCATGGCTAGCACATGTAGGACCGGGCTCGACCGAGATGAGGTAGGGCCGACTGCAGTGCACAATGGTGCGCTGGCTCAGGAGAAGGGTCGCGGGATGTCCGGAAGTCAATGAACTATGCTGCTCCATGAAGGTTTGCGAAAAAGTGACCGGAAAAGAGAAAGAAGGGGACACGGTCAACCGTTGATGGGTTGATGAAAAGAAAGATACTACAGCGTAGAGAGCTACGATGCGGTGATGGTTTTCGCTGGAGACGTCATCAGGGTTGGCTGGCGACGACATGAGAAGGAGAAGAAAAATCTAATTTACTACACGAGGGATTTCCCAAACTAGGGGCTCCCCTTACGGTAGTTTTGGTGTACTTTGCCCAAGGGGTTGGTGTGTGTGTGTATATATATATCCTACAACTAAAAAGAACAAAGTGTGGATATTTTTTGGTGCGACATTTGTTTTGGTTCGTCCGTCAGCCCACGCCTGCGATCTCACGACATCTTAATTACTGATTGATCGTGCCATTCTCCTTGATTGAATATTGCCTGTCATGTGATAGAGAAATCATGGCAAAATAGGATGTAGAAAATTATTTTGCTATCCATATACACATTGTATGTTTGCATGGACCAGCATACATGGCAACGAGCAAAAGAAAAGGGAATTAACATAGAAAGGAAAGAGAATTAAGACAAAAGGAACCTCTTTGCATTCCTGAGAACCTTGCTAAATCTGCCTACATTTAATTACTTCCCCTCTTTGCATCTCTACTATAAGGGATCAATCAAAACTATACTAGGTCTCCCAAAAAAAGTCTCCCGCTGAGAGACTACAAACCATTGTGCACCAATAAAATTGTACCCAGGATTACAACATCATTAAAATTTATGGCTCCTAATCCTTTCTCATAGGTTTCAACTTGATCCGATGGCCAATGTTATTTGGATCTCCCCCGCCCAGGCTTCAACGCACGCCTCACACATCCCGCACACCACCTGCACGACTACACACCGCGTGAGACCCAATATCGAATCCCAGACTCACCAAAAAAACATCATTGGGGCAAAGAGCCAAATAAAGAGCATATGAGGACGACGGGAAGGGATCGGAAGGAAACAATTGTGCCTCCGATATAGACGGGATGCCGGGCGCAGCAACGAAGCCGATGGTCGGTTAAAGGAAATCAATCTCAATCACACCAGTTGAGGGGGAGATTGATTCATGTTTCCACTTGGTGCCTTTTTGCTTGACGCTGAAGGAAGGTTCATGTTTCCTTTTGTTTCGTTTTCTTTTTTGCTTGATCATGAAATGACTTGATGGACGCTGAATTTTTGGTGAAAAAATAGGTTGGAGAAACCGCCCCTGACGTCTCTGCCTACGTGCGGTTCTGATCCTATCGGCCGCCACTACCGCCTGCATGCCGCCTGCCCGTGCCGTAGCCTCATCGTCCTGGCTGGCCAAGACATAGAGGAACGCCGCCGGAGCCCCGCACGTTCACTGCTGCTCAAGCCCCGCAGGAGGGTTTGCAGCGCCGCGCCGCGTTGGCCGCGAGTGTTGCAGTGCCACGCTGGATGCTCGCCCTGACGCTTCGCCATCGAATCCAACTATTGTTTGCCGCATCGGAAGCTGTTCCAACAATCTATGCCCACTCGCCCACCGTCGATGCCAGCTGCTGTTCGCCGCGCCGGAAGCCGCTCCGACGATCCACGGTCGCTCGCCCTAACGCTCCGGCGGCGAACCCACGGTGCAGCGCCCCGAAAGGCCGCGACGGCCGCTCGGCCGTTGTCGAACCCGCACCACGCCGCCTGCCCGTGCTGCTCAGCTTCCAGGAGCGGTCGGATAGTCCAGCATTGTCGGACTCAGCTTCGGGTAGGTGATATGGTTGTTTAAACTGAAGACTTAATTTAGAAGAATTAAAGGTTTAATTCCAAATTTCTACTGCCATTCGGCCTTCTCCACTTCTCCGTCCGCGCGCATCGTAGGATCAAAACCGGCGACCGCTGCGGCGCCCTTGAACCCTAGCGCCATTCGGCCTTCTCCACTCTCTGTCTTCACCGCTCTCTTTCTCTCTTTCCTCAGCGCAGCCACAGCAGCACCGAGCGACTCAAGCGGCAAATCGGTGGAGCCCTGGCGCCGTCGCCGGCCCCCTCGCCGGCGTGCGCGCTCCCCAGCGAGTGAGCGCGCCGCCGTCGAGCGGCCTGGCCGCAGCGCCCCTCTGGCCGGATCCCGGCGAGCAGTGCCCCCGGCCGGCCCTTTCTTTTCCCCGCGCATCGGCGTGACAGCAATACTGCACGGCGGCGAGGTAAGCCACCCCCTTCCCCCTCTCCCCCTTTCGGTTTCTTTGGTTCTTGTGCTCGGATTTCTTCCGATTTGGAGATTAGGGTTAGGGTTTGGGGATGGGGTTTCACTATTTTCTTTTTCCCAAATTGATTTCGGGTTTTAGGGTTTGGTTTAAACATGAAACCGAGCCCTTCTTCTTCTTTCTTTAACCCAGTTAGGGTTAGGGTTCAACCGAACCCTTTTCTTTTCTAATTTGCTTAACCCAGTTAGGGTGAGGGTTCATCCGAACCCTTTGTCGGCCGAAGCCCCCTTCTTCTTAGACCCGCACTGGATCTAAACATTCTTATCCTTTTCTAATCATTTACCCGTTCTAGATCTAAAACCCTAGAACAAACGTGGCTCTGGTACCAATGTTAAAACCATAGGATCGATCTAGGGTAAAACCGAGGGACTTCTAGGTAACCAGTTGATCCTAAACAAGCCCTAGTACATCTAGACAGAGAGATGGAGACATAGAGATAGATAGATAGGGGTTCGAACCTGAGACCGCAGAGGTGGAAGATCCAGTGGCCTCCATCAGTTTCGTCGATGCAGTCTGCGCATGGGCAGCGATGGTCGGGGAAGATGTCGGTGTAGTTGCCGTCGTCGGAGCAGGGCGGCGCGGTGAGGCCGACGGTGATGACGGTGGCGGCTTCCCGTCGCTGGCTGCGCACCCTGTTGAGATCGGACTTAGGGTTTGTTGGTGGGGCAGAGTGGCTCACGGCGAACCTCGTACGATGAGCCGCTGGCCCCCACCACTTTATATAGCGCAGTGCTACGGGGGCCCACCAACCCTATAGGGTTGGGCGTCCCCGATCAGGGCGCGTGACCAAGGCCCAATAGACCGTTGGGCTTATTGGCTGGGAGATCATTCCAACAGATCTCCCTAGCCGCTCTTGCCCGGGGAGCTGACAGGGCCCTCTCTTCATTTGTCTGATGCACTGGAGCAAGGCTCTCTTGAAATAGGGAGATGCCGATAAGAGCAAGATTTTCAGTTTGGTAAGATGAATGGGTCTCTCTGATTGCAGTGACAGTTCCTTCTAGGGTCTGAGGCACGGGATCATAGACAACCACCTTGCGTCTGGATGTAGCAATGACTATCCTCTTCGTGGACAACCCACCGTTGCCAACAGAACCAAGAACTCTAATAATCTGAGGCTGAATCAAATCATCTCTGCCAACATGCTGCCGCAACAGATCAATACCATGTTCCAATGACCAACCACCAGAGCCATAGTCATTCAGCTTCCAAATCTCCAGCACGCCGCTGACATTACGAAGGTCCCGGACCATGCACAAGTGGCCAGCAAGCTGCACCAAGTGCACACCTGATGATACCTCAAAGGGTGGCGACCGGACCCATGCAAAGGTCTCATCTGTGACGGAAAAGGATAGGATGGCAGCCCGTGGCCTTTTAACGACGAACGAGGGACTGAGAAGCCAATGCAGAAATCCATTTGCAAATACTGGCAGCAGTTTATCATGTCTAGCATGGCTAATAGTTGCCCGAGCAGCCCTGCAGAATCTGAAGGGTACACCTGCAGCAGGCGGCTTCCAATCATCCCCATGATCACCGCCCAGCGTGTATATCTCACACTTAATATGCTGCTTATCACCACAATCCCCTCGGAATAACCTCACCACCTTGTACTTCTTTGTCCGTGCATCAAACCCAAGTCCAGCGGTCACATACACCGCATTGTGGCACGGGGGCAACCGGGTAACTGCCCTTGTGGATGCGTTGAAGACATAGTAAGCCGGCGTGAAAGGATCGTGGAGAAGGGTGAGGCCGCGGCACGGCCCCGGTGTCACGTGGATGAAGTCGCCGCCGCGTACGTCGTCGAGAGTGAACAGCAGGCCGTCATCGGGGCCTGACGATGAGCTTGTACACCGCGGTGGCGTCGAAACTAGCTGTTGGTGAAGTGAAGAACAGGTTCGGCGGCGCTGGCTCCGCTTCGGCCTTGGCCATGTGGAGGCGGCAGAATTCGTCGGACGAAAGCTCTGCGTTCCAGGATCGGCAGACGGCCCGGAAACGGACGATGGATTTGACGGGCAGCCGTAGGAACACCTCTGTCATTATCTCCTCTGGCAGGAAGGGTGCACCGACGTCAGATGCTGCTGCAGCCCTCCTCTTATTCCCCGTCGTCATTTCACCCAAAACCACAATTGGTCGACTCTGAGATAATCTGCACTGGAATACACACGAGCAAAATTTTGGTGCCAGGACAATCTAAGATCCTATGTACTGTACTTCGACCATGTAATGTAAGGAAACACTGGATATTCTGAAAGATCTGAGTACGAGTGAAGAGCCCTGAATTCCAATCTCGGTGTGTTGGTTAAGGTGAGATGATTCGTAAATTGCCCCAAACATGCAAAAATCTCTCTTTTCCCCAGCTTTTATAAAGAGGGGGCATGGAGAGAGGTTTCAGCCGGCACATCATGAACACAGGGTTTCAGGAATCCGACCTGTTCGCAAACACACACACACACACCTTAGCCCACATTCTCGGGTCTCAGCCGTGGCTGCTTGGTCAACGCCGGCCACCGCTCGTCCATAGTTGGTACCACGCCGAAAGGGCGCGGGACACGCGGTTGCCAGGCTCCGTAGGCCAGATGGGTCCAGCCTGCGCCCTGCGGCGAATCTTGTGATAACGCCGAAGGGAGGGAGGTGGAGAAGGCGCCCGGTCGGGCGGGTGTGCGGGCAGGGGTGGAGGGGTCGGAAATGGGGCTCCCGCCTGGGAGGATCTCGGGAGGACGGAGGTTGGGGAAGGGGACTGAGGAAGCCCGCACTATCGTGTCGGCTGCTGGGGGACTCCTATCGGCAACAGGAGGCCGACAGGTCTCTGTCGGCAGGCCAGTAGCTGACTGGCCCCCGACCAGGCCATACATGACTGACCAATGTACCCTTATTGGGCCGATTGGCCTGTCGGCCCATGGAGAGCCGATGGGGATCTATTGGCCAATCGTGAGCCAACATGCCACCAACATGCCACAAAATATCCACCACGGCCTTTCTTCTTCCCTCTCTCTCGCTCGCCGCTCCCTCTCTCTCCTGGCTGCGCCATCGCCCGCCGTCACGCGGCCGGGCCACCCACACCGGCGACCGCCAGATTCGACGATGGGCTTGACGCCCCCCCCTCCCACCCCGCCGGTGCTGCACCTCGCCGGCCTCGTTGCAGGTATGTGTGTGTGTGTTAAATGTAGTTAGTTTAGTTAGGATTTGTTAGTTTTGTTAAATGTAGTTAGTGTAGTTAGGATTTGTGTAGTTAGTTTAGTTAGGATTTGTTAGTTTTGTTTAGTAGTTAGATTTAGTTAAATTAGGTTAGTTTATTAGGGTTATTTACGGTTAGTTTATTTTATTAGTTTAGTTTAGATTACTTTATTTTATTATGGTTAGGGGTTAGGGTTAGTTTAGATTGATTTTGTTAGTTTAGTTTATTTTTACAGGGCTAGGGTTAGGTTTAGATTATTTATTACTTTTTGTTTGGTAGGGTTAGGGTTAGTTATTGTTAAACTTAGGTTTACGGCTAAATTTTCATGGTACTTCATTTAATTGACACAATACTTTGCGCGATGCGACCAGTCCCTTTCAGAATTTACCATGGCAACAGTGAAATCAGATATGGGGACAGCGGGGTAGACCTTAGCGAGTTCTAGGTCTTTGACACAGAACTGAATTCGCCGCTAGATTATAGCCGGAAACAAGTTTTAGCCTGGCTACATGAATACTTGGGTGTTCCGCCCCCAGCATCGTTTCAGGATTAGTATGTTGGTGCCTAAAAAGCGAGAGAATGGATAGAGGTGGAAGCTATACGAGGCCAATAACACAAAGAAGTGGCATTTTCTTGTGTCCAAGGCATTGGAGCATCGTTATGCCAACATCATGCTTGTTGAGTTCCTGGACGGTGCCATGCAGGGTGAGAGTAGCAACACAGAACTTAGAGTCAGCAAATGCTGAGCAGACCTATGTTTGTGATCCTCCAACTGTTGAGAACACGACAGAGGGTGGACAGGTGGAAGATTATGGTCCGTCCATGGAAGCTGACCTGGGTGAGAAGGACGAAAGAATCGTCGAACAGATGCAAGCTAACGATGCAGAGCACGTCGCCTTCGTGGATGAATTTGCTGGCAGGAGGTTTGATGACGAGGTCGTCATCCCTGAGGATTGGGTCCACATCGCACCTGATGCCATGACGGTCGATGATGGTCATCATTCTTCGTGGGTGTACTCAAGGATTGAGGTCAGATAAGGGTAGATGTTTCATGACAAGGTTCATCTGCAACATGTTGTCCGTTGATGGGCTTTTTCCAAAAAGAGGCAATTTATGGTGGTTATTTCTAACCCCACGATGTGGGACGTTAAGTGTGTCACCCCGGGTTGTACTTGGCATGTTCATGGTCATATGCAATGTACCGAGAGCAACTTCATAGCCACTATTGTCGAACCGCACACTTGCTTGCTGCATTCTTCGCTGAATAAGCATAGGAACATGACGGCAACTTCCGTTGCAAATGAAATGTATGGTTCGGTGGACCCTGTACACAGCAGTTGACATACAGTCCCGTGCTCCGCGTGGCTTGTCGAAGTTGTGCTACCATGACCAGGAGCTATGGTACACGAGGAAAAGACTAGTGTTCGACATCTTCGTCGAGCCATTCTGTCCAGAGCGGGTGGCACGTCAGTTTGGGCATGCACAGGTCTTCCCCCTTCCCCGACTTCAACTTGACAGGTCCCACGGGTAAGTCTTGTTGCATTAACCGTTCCAGTATATGTCATCATACTATTATTCATTATTAATTGTATTGCAGGCATTCAAGGAAAGGTCAAGGTCTAGCGTTTGAGCTGTCGTGGGTGGATAGGATGGTGTCTTGGGTGAACAATTGGGCACAAGTTGTAACACCCTCGATGTTACACCCTAAATCATTTACTAAAACATGTCATGAGCATCATGTTTATGTGTTAATGCATGTGATAAAATGTGTAGATCAATTTCTTGTAACTTAAAATGATCAATAAAAATGCTAAATAAAAGTTGATTCAATAGCTCATGTATATCAAGTAAGTTTGAAAACCAATTTTTATTAAGCAAAAATACTATAGAACATGTGTGTGATACTTAAATAAAGTTTGAAGTACAAACTTTGTAGATGACAGTGAAATACTTGCTGTCAAAAAATGATATTACTAGCTAATATTTCTACTAGCCTAGAAATTGCAAATTGAAATCAAGTTCAGCTCAAAAACTTAGAAAAATTATAAGTTGTCAACAGCTAGACATTGCTATGTTTAGCAAATTATTTTGAGAGATTGGATTAAGGGGTGGTGTAGTGTTATAGCTCAATTTGGTAGTCTCACATGCCATCTTGAGCATGGTGAAGATGGTTTGGCTCCCGAAGTAACCGTTTAGTCGTTTTGGGAGCTTTAAAATTCATGCACGACACAGCCTCGGGATGGTTGGCGCCGTGCACGCGGTCACCGCGTGGCCACCCCGCATCACTCACATGGCCACGTCCCACGCGGTCACCTAGTGCCGCCATGCTAGGTCGATTGGGCCGCCTAGGCTTGGCCGAGGCCGGCCACAGCGAGCCGCTAGCCCCACGCCCTGCTGCACTGCCTCACGCTGCCGCCATTGGTGTCGCCACGGCAGCGCTGCGCTGCCGTCGCCTCACCGTCACATCCACACCCCACCTATGGCTCTGCACCGCTATCCGCCCTACCGTTGCTGCACGCACTTGGCGTATCCACGGCATCAGCACATGGCCGTACCTGCTATCGTCTCGCCCATTAAGGAGCGGCAGTCGCTCATGCCATGTCGGTCGTGGACGTGCGCACGACTTGTCCATAGCGCCTGCGCGTGTGCGTCCTGATCGCGCCGCTTGCGTCTCGCCAAGGCGAGGACGAGCTGAGCTCTGACCTACCCCTCCCCTCCCTCTTCGCTGCTACCTTGGTGGACTAAGCCGCATCATTAAAACAAGCAGGGAGGAGTCGCCATCGCCTGATTCGTCACGTCGCTGGCTCCATCACCCAGTTGCCTAGCTACCCGCCCCCATCTCGACTTGAATGGCGCCCGATCGAGCTTTAATTTTAGAGCTTTTGCCCGCCACCGTGCTGATAAGGCCGAGTCCGCCCATCACCGAGGGCAGCTCCCACCTGACCACCTCGAGCCAAATTTGTTGCACCGCTAGACTCACCTCGAACCCCTCCTCGCCATGCGCGCCTGAGCCATACCCCTACCATTGTCCTGACACTACTAACACGGTCGTGTCCACCGTGGCTCATCGTTGAGCTCGCTACGCGTACGTGGCCAGCCTTGCTTGGGGCATCTCCGGCCGAACCATCGCCTCGGCTAGGTCCTTGGTGAGTCGTTGATGCTCACCCGCTACCTTTACTGCTTCCTTAGCACCGTGGTTCACCAGAACGTTGTCGTTGCCACCGCAGGTTGCCCATCGTCATGGAGAAGTCGCCCTACTTCGTCTCTGGTCTTCTAACTGCTACCCAGCGTTGCGCGTCGGTCCGTAGGTGAGTATCAACCCCCTAACTAGGTCTGCACGGGTCTCAGTTGGCCGGTGTAGCAGCTTCGTGCCAGCCACCGCCGCGTCAACGAGCGTGAGGGCTTTGGGGACCTTCCCAATGCGAAGATGAGTCTCTTCGGGGGCCTTCATGCATAATCGCTGACTAAAGGAATATGGCGCATAGTGGTCGCATTAATAGCAGAAAGCGCGAGGGCTTTTCTGCTAAAACACCAGCGCGCGCGAGCTTCTTCGTCGTGGCTCTGTCTCGCGTGGGCCACGCGGGAGGTTTCATTTTTCTTTTCCTAAGGAATTAGAAATAGTTTTCTAATTTAATTTTTGAGCTGATCTTTGGTAAATCATATAAAATCATATAGGTGTCCAAAAATTATGAAATTTTTTTTATTAGGTTTCTAAAATTGTGCTATATCTGTTAGCGTATTTAGTTCACATATGTACGTGTTGATGCCAGGAGGTATTAAATCATTTGAGAGTGCTCAATATTATTAAGTTAATTATTGTAGGATTTTTTTACGGTAAATTGGTGATAACTTTGGTCCTAAAAATTTTATAACAGCATCGTGGTATTATTATGTGCTCACTATAATTTTTGTAGCCTTATAATAGACTAAGATT